CAACAAGTACCTCAGCAATGTCATCTGGGAATTGCTCTGATGTAAATTGACCAAAATATTCGACATAAGCAACGACTTGATCCTAGGGAAAAAAAACCGGAGAACACAATCAGTAATCAAACAAGGAAATGAGAATTGCCAATAATTGTTGGTGTATCAAAATCACAACGGCCAGTTTCAATCTTATAGCTCTAACCTTATGTTGTTGAGGATCTCGTGGGGGAGGCCATAACAAGGAAGAGAACTGCAGACCATCAATCCATCTCTCAGATGAAGAAGATGAACTAGCCATCCAGAAGAAGTAAAACCAGAAACCGAAACTAATCCCTCACTAGAATGATTGATTTACACAATCTAACTAACTAACACCTTTCTTCTACCAGTCGAGAATCAATACGTCGTCGCCGGCAAGAACAAACTCTATACACATCACCCAGATTTAACTCCTTTTATACTACCAACACACTGTACACTAAATCGAAGCTGAATTAAAACGCTATGTCTTTGTTATTCGCTCCTTCCTGTTACAATTCAGAAGAACAAAATCTCAATCAGTGATAACAAAAAAAAAAATGAAATCTAAGCTGAGAAAAAAAAAATGCAAGTAGAAACAGTGACGAAAACCAACACACACAACACAAAACTGGAGAAATTAAGCAAATCAAGGAGAATCAATCAACAAAAAATTCACCAAACACCAAATGATTCGGTAAAAAAACTCATCTGACAAATCAATCAAGCAAAAACCACGGAAAAAATAAATCATAATAAAAGAAAGACCTAAGATTGTTGATTATCATCACCTAGTCTTGCTGTTCTTTTAGCTTTGAGGATATTTTTTTGAGAGATGGAAGAAAATCGGAGAAAAAAGAAGAAGAATATCAAAAAAGGATTCTGAAGCAATACATACACACAAGAGAGATTGTGGTGGCTTTGGCCTTTGGAGAGAGAGAGAAAGAGATTTGGAGGCTTCTCCACTCGGTTTAAGATTTCCCGTCCGCTTACGTGTCATCGATATTCCCTAGCCTTGCCACGACCTTTATGCTCCATTACCATATGACCATCATCATCATCCTCACATATATGTTATGGTTAAAATTTTATCATATTTTTCTTAATTTTTAAACAATTCATATATGGTTTATCACTCAATGAAAACAATTCTACTTTTAAAAATAGTTTAGTAGTTTGTTGTTTTTGAATTTTAGTCGAATCAAATTCTTGTGTTAACCATACATACTATAATTACAATTTTATCATATTTGTCTTTATTTTTTAAGCATCTAATACTCCCTCCATTTCTTTATATAAGATTTTTTTTTTTTACTAAAACACACAAAAATTGAAAAACTATTATTTAATGCATCATGAAATTAATTCAACAATTTTATACTATATTCAAATTGTCTAGCAACTTGGAAAAGTCAAATATAATGAAACAAACAAAATTTCCTAAAAAGAAACAGAAGAAGTATATATGATTCATCACTCAGTCATAAGAATTCTAATTTTTAAAATAGTCTAGTAGTTTGTTTTAGTGTTGTTTTTGGATTACAATTCGAATTCAAATTACCAACAAATATATTTACCAATTTAAGTAATTAGTTTTTAATCCTAATAATATATTTTGTAAACTCAGATTTACTCCAAAATTCTGTCTAAATCTCCTTAAACATGAAATCATATCAAAAATTCATAGTAGTTGTTTTTAAATAAAACTCTAGATTCACAGTATGGCAAATATTGGTAAAGAATTTGCAGAAGTAATCAGAGAGATTATTTATTTAAAAGTTTTGTGGTCATGATTGTATTTTACTATATCAACCTCTCATGTGATTGCCTAATTAGTTAATACTTTCACAAACAAAAACTAGTGACATATGTCCACAGATATTTTGAGAGAAGCTAAGTTCAGATACTACGAGTTGTTACGTACACCCTCGAATTCTCCACCGTTGATTCAGTCCCACTCCACAATTTCCTTTATAAGATTTCGGGCAGCTTGCCCAGAACAGTTTGGAGCCGTTTGATCAACGGGCAGCTTTTGAGGAACAGCCCGTTGAGAAATATCTAAATGGGCCTCACACTTGCTTTAAGATATTTTTAAATCTTCCCACTTGTCTACATGAACGTCTACATAAACAAGTAGAACATAAATATGATGACGTGTACCAACCAGAGTGGAGCAAGAGATCTGTGGACGTTGATCTCTCGCCTACCAAGAGACGTGGCACAATAAGATGCGAGCAATATATTGTAATGCTCTCCATACGATTCTTGATTGTGTGGTCCACTTCTGTCTGGATGGCGGCTCTTGTCTGAATAATATGGTAACATAACTGGGCTTTGGTCATGTACCATGTAATGTGATGGGCTCAAAGTCTCAAACCATACGTGCAGTTATGTAACTGGGCTAAAAAATAATTGTAATTTAAGAGAAAACAATCTATTTTTCACTGTGATTGCTTGTAAAACAAATATATTTTTTTATGTCAAATTGTAATTTTGAGGATAATTTACTAATTAGATACTAATCAAGACGTTAAATTGTTACATTGATGTATCATGCTGATCATAGTAAACGCGTTTTGCAATTAGCTTAAATTTAGGTTTATGATTTACCATTAACAAAAAAAAAAAAACCATTTAGTTTTCTAATAAAGCTACTTTGCCTACTTTTTTGTTGTGAATTAAGATATCATTTTATTAGCAATCTTTTATTAAAGTAATACTATAGTGGAGAAAATTTTATAAAATTCTAAAACTTTTTGAAAAGTCGCATTCACAAATTGTAGACATTTCGGTAGATATATTATATGTTTAAGTTATAGTCCAATGAATTGATTCTTTTGTGGTTTAGCAAGCGAGATATTCATTACCCCTTTCATTGTCAATACAACCTTTGAAAATGCTATTATTTTTCTTCAAGTATTACTCTATTATAAATTTATATACCTTTTTTTTTTTTGACATTATACAATATACTTTTTTGACAAAAGAGCCGTGACATCAATCAATTTATAGACAAAAAATATAATCGAATATCTTTGCAACGCGGGATTTAGAAAATCCTCAAACCAAATTAAGCTCAAAATTTGATTTATTCATTATATTATACTTTAAATTTAAAAATCTTTAACGATCATATCTAAATTTAGTAAATAAGATATGTTGGTTTAGTGTGTCATCCGTCATAGTTTAGATGTGGTATTTACATAAAATAATCCCTAACCTATCATAATTCCATTTTTATCTCAACTCAAGATAGATGTAAAAACCTAAATCCTAAAATTTTGTCAAATATTTACTATGTTAGTATATTCTTAATTACGTCAAAGAGAAAAAAGAAAGTGAATGGAACAATCTAGAATCGAACAATGAATGGAAACATTAGCAAGTTCATTTAAAAAATATGCAAAAGGTGAGTGAAGTCAACAAATGATGAGGCAAAGGGTCGGCTAGTATAGCTCCAATGAGAAGGGTCAGAGTCAGACACATTGTGGACGGTGACACGTATCAACCCCACTCACTCTCTTCTTTATTCAATCATTTTTTTAAATCTTCTTATAAAGTATGGTCAGAACTCAGCTGATATATAGTTTAGTAATTGTATTTAGATTCTTGTTGTGACTGAAAGTATATTCGATCAACATAAACCATTCAAATTAACGTCATATCAAACATTTATTATGAAATACAATCATTGAATTGCTTGCTTCCAATTATAAAAACATAAAGAGTCTCTTATATTCAACCCCTCAAAAAAAAAAGAAAAAAAAAAAAGAAGTCTTGTGTGCATATAATTGATATCAACTACATATTGAATACAAACCACAAAGTTTGAGTATGACACATTCGAATAATTTCATAATAGAAGGCTTGTACTGTACTCCTACCATAATAGAAGGATTGTCCCATGCTGCTGACCAATGACCATGACTACCGAACAACTTAAATTTCAAGTAGAGTTGGATATTTGGGGATTGGGAAATGCAGTTGAGTTTTTTTGTTTTCTTTCAATAGATACATATAGGACCTGAAAATTCATGTCTCAAAGAAGAAAATAAGTCATATATTTCTTTTCTCGTCAATAACAGCACTACGTGGACTTAACCAGGGTGGTCTTGCACCGACAACTCTATCACAAATCACTACGCCGCCGTCCTGGCCATACCACCCACACATGTGAGAGAAAGTTGATGTCATGCTAAGACACTAGCAAAATCCTCACTCATGGATATCATGATCATTAGACATGTCAATTAGGGCCAAAGCCCGCGGGCTAGTCCGGTCCAGCCCTGAAAAACAGCGGGTTCGGACTTCAAAATATATGTAAAAAAAAAACGGGTCTTTCGGGCTAAAGGGTTTTTTGGGCTTAGCCCGGCCGGGTTCGGGCTAGCTCGAAAAGACCTTTAAAAAATATTTTGATCCTTTTTTGTTAATTTCGTTTAATTGTAAGATTTGTTGTAAAAATTTTTTTGATAGAGTTGAAAACCATGAACTTAGTTTTTTTTTGTTGTGTATTACTATAAATCGAAAAAGCAAATATTAGCTCTACTACCTAATTTGAATTATTTTGATTTTATATTTTATTTAGTATAAGTTTAAACAATTTATTTGGATTATTTACTTGATTTTAATTCTTTTTTTAAAAAACTAAATTAGCGTTAGTGGTTATTTAAATTTTGATTGACTAGTTTCATATATAGATTTTTTAAGAGATATTAGAAATTATAAGTTTGTTTTTTTTTGTCGGAAGAAAAGCCCAAAAAAGCTCTGTAGCCCTGTTAGGGCCGGGCCGGGCTTTAAAATATAGGTTCGAAATTTTTACGGACCGGGCCGGACTCAAATATGTACGGGTTTTGCGGGCTTCGGGCCGGGCCGGGCCGGGCCGGACTAGCCCGATTGACATGCCTAATGATCATGTTGATTTGTCCGACAATGTAATTTTTTTGTTTAAGGATCAATTTGGGATTTTCCGTATTATAACATATATATAATTTTCAGGCAGAATATTTTGGAGGTTGGAAATTGAGGTATAGAGTACAGTTAGGAATTCCAACAATGTAGAAGAAAAAGTCTATTCAGATTTCTGAAAAAGACTAATAATCAGCTAATCGCAGATTATTAAGAAATCATCATCGTCCAGAAATAAACACAATAAACTAAGTGAAAAACACAAAAACCATAAACTAAGTTAAAAAAACTGCTAAAGAGTAAAGAAAGACTTAAAACCAAAAAAAAAAAAAAAAAAAAAGGAGTTCAAATCAAAACTAGAAAAAAACAAAGTTCAGGTGGTAGAGAAACCAAGCTCATGATCAGGTGGATCAACAGATAGCCTGAGAACATCCAAAGCCTCAGATACTTTAGACTTGAGTGCCTCTGGTGACTCCATCAAGTGCAGGATCTCGGCTTGATCCATCTCCAACAACATTCCTGTGACTTTAGCCACGTGAAGTGGTTCGTGCCTTTCCACAAGTGGGTAAAGTTGCTCTCCAAGCATCTGTACCCAACCAATTAGTTTTAATAAAAATCAGTAAACAAATAAATATGCCACTAGGTACACAAAAAAACAAAACTAAAATAAATAAATATGCCAATCTTTATTAACTATTTATGTGATTTTAACTTATATTTAATTATTATAAGACCATAATTCTTTCAAACATTTAATGTTAAGAAACAAAATTCACCAAAAACATTTTCAGCTTTTCGAAAAATATTTTGTAAATTAAAGTCCAGATGTTTTGCCCAAAAAAAAAAAAAAAAAAAAAAAGTCCAGATGTCTTTGCGTTTGGTTTTTGCATTAACAATTGACAGAACATGTTTATAAGAGGTTTAAAGTTATGGGTTTATTATTCAAAAGATATACACCAAATGTAAAAGCAAACGCAAATAAACAATTGTTTAGCTGAGATGGAAAGAAAAATGACAAACCCGAGTGCGATCAGCTGGACTAGCAGAAGCTAAAGAAGAAGTGAGCTTAGATATTGGAAGGAGAGGAGCTTTCTGGTGAGAAATTGAAGAAGCATCTATTGGCAAAGGCATGATTGGAGGCAAGATTCCTTGCGGAACACTCGAATCCATTCCGTTCCTCCCGTTACCCGCACCGTTCATATATCTCATTCCCGGGGTCGGGTTACGGTTCATAAGCTGTCAATCCAATCCAATTCAGTTTCATGATTGTTGAAAACTATTAAACAAACTCAGTTTAGTTAACATACTTGTTGTTGTTGGATGTGGTGTTGCATGTTAGTAGCACCACGCCTGAATCCCATACGAGGACCGGTTTGAGGTTGTCTCTGAAGAGGATAAGGCATGACGAAGTTGCCCGGGCCAGAACCTGGACGCATCCCGGGCATGAACTGAGGCTGGAATCCATATCCAATGGGCTGGGACGGGACCAGACTTGCTCCGTTCTGGCCTACGTACATGTGCTGGGGTGGACCCGACATTGGTCCACCTGGCGGGTGATGGAACCCCGACATTGGCCCTGGTGCTCTTATCTGTGAAAATAGCGCCTGAAAATAGCAAACGTATATACTTAGTCACAACACAACTATAACAAACCCATTTTTTTTTTAATATGTAAAGAGATTTAACAAACTTGTAAGTGTGCTCGTCTATCTTCTTTGCGCTGCGCAAGAGCTATGTATAGTGGTTTCTTTCCTATCATCTTCCCATTCATTTCACTCAGCTGCATTGTCATATATAATAATCTCTCATATATCAAAAGAGACGAACGATAACAGAAAAATATATTACAATTTTAGAAACTCACTGCTCTTAAAGCTTCTTCAGGATTAGAATAAGCAACAAAACCAAATCCTCTGCTCAATCCTTGTGGATTAAGCATAACCTACATTTAGTTAAAGGATTATGTCAAGGAAAACCATCAACAACCTATATTTATTAATGTATGTATGACTTTTTATTATTACCTTGGAAGATGTTACATTTCCATATTCAGAGAACATCTCCTTGAGTTTCTCATCATCGACGCTATCATCAAGATTCTTCAAATACAGATTCGCTCCTTGAGATTTCTCAAACCGGTTTATCCTCTCCTGCTCAAACTTCCTTCTTAACTCTTCTTCTCTCTCAGACTTCTTCTGAGCCCTCCCAACGTACAACACATCATCCCCTAAGCTAATTCCATTCATCTTCTCAACCGCGGAAGCCGCTGCTTCAGTACACTCAAAGTTCACAAACCCAAAACACCTCGAGTTCCCGCTCTGGTCCCTCATTACAACCGCGCTCGATATCACTCCAAATTTACCAAACGTTTTTCGTAGCTCGTCCTCACCAATCTCCTTGGGGAGATTCTTGACGTACACATTAGTGAAACGCGGTGTAGGGGTGTTTTCATCACGAGCACGTTCTTGACGTCTGATGAAGTGTCCCACAAAGACTTGCTTGTCGTTCATTAGCATCCCGTTTAGCTTGTCAATTGCAGCTTGAGCCGATTCCTCCTTCTCAAACTGGACAAATCCATACCCCTTGGACCGGCCAGTCACGTCCATTGCAACTTTGCATGAGAGGATGGTTCCAAAACTTGAAAACGTCTCGAACAATGCCTTGTTGTCGATTGAAGCATCAAGGTTTTTGATGAAAATGTTTCCTTTGCCGCTCAATCGTGTGCTCGGATCACGGTTCGAGAGCATGATCCGAATGGGCCTTTCAAAGAGGGGAGTGTAGTTCAAAGCCTCCATTGCTCGGTAAGCTGCAAAAATATAAATCACGTTAAACATATCTATATAAATCGATAAGCAAATAAGATCATCTATGAAATTTATAAATGCACAAATATGTATAGTTTCTACGATGTGATGGGTATTGGAAGAGAGAATTTTCAAACAAATTAATCACGTTTTGATTAATCACGTTTTGAACTGATGCATAATTCTATAAATATTGTAGCTTCGATATTCAATCGATATATATCAATGTAGCAGAAACATTGTATATGTTAATTTCTAGACAAATAATAGCATCTAAGATGATTCACAAAAACATGATACTTATCATAATTAATTACCAGGACTAATAAAAAAAACGAGACTGAAACAAAGCAAATCATAGTGTTTCTCTTTATTGTTATGAATTCACGATAATATATTTACGTTTTCAAGATATGAACCCTAACTTGCAATTCAAGCAAAATAGAATTGTACTTACCATCATTAGGGTTACTGAAATTGATGTAGGCATATCCCAAGGATCGACGATTCTGGTCACGACAAACTCTTACCGAAACAACATTAGCGACATGCTTGAACAAATCGAACAGATGCGCTTCAGTCACTTTTGGGTCCAAATCTCCCGCATAGAGCGACGAGTTGGGATGTGTTTGATCGGCAACCGCTGCCGGAGATGGAGCAGGTATCGAAACCGGAACCTGAACCGAAGTCTGAGCCGTCGGACTCGGAATTTGATCAACCATTGTTGCCGGTGCGACACCCGTCGCAACCGCCGCCGCCATGATTATGAGTTTACTTTTTACAAGACGATTTGTTATTTCGTCTCGTGAAAGGAAACAAAATCACTGATTCTAAAAAAACAAAGATTCGATGATTTGTTTCTCTAAGGGTTTTAAGTGAGAAAGAGATTTTATGTAAACACCATAACTCGAGGATTTGTTTCTTCAAAATTTTTGATTTTATTTATTTTTTAGGAATTTTATTCTTATTTAGATTTTTTTTTCCTTTTTTAGTTTCCTCCAATTACCGAGAGGAGTGAAGAGGGATAAAATTGAATTAGTGTGAAGAGTGTGTATGCATATTTATACATAACCAGCAAGCCTATAAATCCGAACAATTAACGATTTAATATAAAACACACATGTCACTTGATTTTTACTATTAATAACTACTAATTCGTGTGTTTTATGCATCTTTGATAATAAGAACTGGTCGCAGTTTTGAATTATGTTTACCTTTATTTTCGCTTATGTTTTTTACAGAGATTTAATTTTAGTTCCACACATCAAAAATGTACTAATTGTGTTTTTTTTTATATACCGAAAGCAACATTAAATTTATTGATTCATAAGAAATACATGCTTTTCAAGGCTACTAGGCACACAAATCCTAATTATTTTCTAATAATATAATCAATTAGAGGTCTTACGAGCTGATTATAATTTATAAATAAAATCCAATAAATTCATTTAACATTTATTTAGGATTGTGATTTTTATGTTTTTGATTGGAGTAAAAGACGAACACCTAATTTTTGGGAGCAGAACTTGAGACTATTGATTTGGTCATGGCTATCAATCTACATTGCTATTTATAGAAACATGAAACTATTTTTAAACTCTTTTGACCAGATATTGGATTGATGAAAAAGAAAAAAAAGACCAGATTTTGGATTATGATAAATAAATTGGTGATTTCTAGTTTACTTTAGATTAAATCAATTATTGTTTATGATGTAGATAGTTTAATAATACTACGAAATAACCTGTTAAAAATCATGGATAATGGAATCTTTTTCTTTCTCTAGATTACAAACTCCTTTTAAATATCCGTACACATATATGAATTCAAGATTTTTATTAGTCTAGATTGGCGTAAAAAATGGGCATCTATGTATTTTTAGGAGTCGAGATTGCGAGTTTGCGACTCTTGATTTTGTCATAGCTACTAAAATCTATCTACATTACTATAATAAACAGCGATATGAAACTATTTTGGATTCTTTGGCCGGATCATATGGAGCGGATTACAACACACCATATTGAGTTCTTCAAAGATCTTGACTAAACGAGAATTTACTATGTTTTTTATATATAAAAATTCTCTATTTTCATTGTATATCATTATTACTAGCATGTAATTTTTTAATTTAAATATAAAAATGATGATGATTGGTATGTTAAATGATGGAGTAACAAAATAATACAGTAGTGTGTAAAACACATCCGTTGATTTATGAAGATTGTAATTGTGCATCCAATCTAGGTACATCAGTTCTTTTTTTAGACAAAACTAAATTATGTCATCAAATAGCCCAAAAAGTCTCATTCCACAAGTTTTTAAAGTCATGACCCAAAAAGTTGATTACATAAGTAATTATTTGATAATAATTACCCAAAAAGCATGTATTTCATGCATCTTTGATAATAAGAACTGGTCGCAGTTTTAAGTTATGTTTACTTTTATTATCGCTTATGTTTTTTACAGAGATTTTATTTTAGTTCCCCACATCAAAAATGTACTAATTTTTTTTTTTTTTAGTATACCGAAAGCAACATTAAATTTATTGATTCATCAAAAAACACACGCTTTTTTAAGGCTATTACGCACACAAATCCTAATTATTTTCTAATAATGTAACCAATGAGAGGTTTTACGAGCTGATTATAATTTATAAATAAAATCCAATAAATTCATTTAACATTTATTTAGGATCGTGATTGTGATTTTTATGTTTTTGATTGGAGTAAAAGATGAACACCTAATTTTTGGGAGCAGAACTTGCGACTATTGATTTGGTCATAGCTAAGATATCAATCTACATTACTATTTATAGCCGCTGGACCCTACCTCCGGCTAAGCCGTTTCCAGGGTGGACAGGCCGTTGAACAAAAACATGAAACTATTTATAAACTCTTTTGACCAGATATTGGATTATGATAAATGAATTGGTGATTTTTAGTTTAGTTTAGATTAAATCAGCTAGTGTTTATGATGTAAATAGGTTTAATAATACTACGAAATAACCTATTAAAAATCATGATCCTTTTATTTCTCTAGATTACAAACTCCTTTTAAATATCCATCCACATAATGGATTCAAGATTTTATTAGTCTAGATTGGATTAAAAAATGGGCATCCATGTATTTTTAGGAGTCGAGATTGCGACTCTTGATTTTGTCATAGCTACTAAAATCCATCTACATTACTATAAATAGGATAATTAAACTATTTTGGATTCTTTGACCGGATCATATGGATCGGATTGCAATACATTATATTGAGTTCTTCAAAGATTTTGACTAAACGAGAGTTTACTATGTTTTTGACATATAAAGATTCTCTATTTTCATTGTATATCATGACTGTCATGTAATGTTTTTAATTAAAATAGAAAAATGATTATGATTGGTATGTTAAAAATGATGGAGTAACAAAATGATACAGTAGTTTGTAAAACACATCCGTTGGTTTTTGAAGATTGGGGAATCACCAGCGCAACTGCTTCGTAATCTCGACAAACATGTTCGAAATCGGATCTCCTCGATACTTGAACAAGAAGATAGAATATATAATAGATGTATGGAAGTTTGGTTTACTCCAAGATAAGCATAAAAGAAAAGAAGCCTTATGAGATGTATACAAAACTTTTAATCAATTGTTGCACTTTATGTAAAAATGTTTTTTTTTCGAATAAATTTTACATTTTATTCAAAAAAAAAAATAATAATTTTTGAAGATTGTAATTGTGGCATCCAATGTAGGTAGATCAATTCTTTTTTTAGACAAAACTAAAATATGTCATCAAATGGCCCAAAAAGTCTCAATCCATGTGTGTTTTCAAGTCATGACCCAAAAAAAAGTTGATTACATAAGTAATTGTTTTCTCACATAAGAGAAATTATATACAGAAGAAAACTATGGAACATACAAACTTGTAATGTAGTCAAGTAGATAATAAATTCTTTGAACTTTTGTGGTGAAAAGTAAAAATGAAATCACAAAGCTTCACATACGCAAAACCGCAGAATGAGTGCGCTCATACATATCTCCAGCCCTGCCATGACCCATGAGAGAGTTCACTAACTTAGCCTTTACTTTTAACTTTGCTTCCTCCAACCAAAGATTAAAATGTGAAAAAAAAAATATTATAAGACTTATGTTTCAAAAGCTGCTTTGTGTATCTAAAATCATCAATCTTTCTTAGATAAAGATTTTTTTTGTTTCCATATTCCAAGCTTACCGATTGCTGTTGTTCACCAGAACGAGGTAGAGCGGGTCGAGAGGAGATAGACGGAATAGCTGCACGACAATGGCTACGCTCGTGCCAACGCTGAAAAAGATTAAACAAAACATGAATGGAAAAATGTCCTTGTCCATCAAAGAGATAAAGACTTTGACAGAATTGTACCTGCCAAGACCTATCAATAGAGCAACCCAGAGAATTCCAACGATCCAACTAGATTCTTTATAGACAACCCAAACCTGAAATAAACAAGTAAATGACTCAAAATATGTAACAACCCCAGTTATTGCAGAGCTTATATAACTTTAAAAGGCTTTTACTAATCTAGTGTTCAAGATTTGGGACTTACTGATAAGACTGCAACATTAATGTAGAAGTTAACCAATAAAACCACCATCCACCTGTTGGGAAGATTTAGCCAATGAATAAAGCAAAGCAAGAGACAGATGATTCAAACACATAAAAAATGTAGAAAGAAATTTAAACTCACGGGTATAGGAGCTCCATGTGGAAAGGAGAACCATAAGTGAAGCAAGTGTAGATCAAAGCTCCTAGCATCACACATCCTAAGGCACCAAACACAAATCTTGCAGTGACAACAAGTGAATTCTTGTCTCTCAGACCAACTCCATCCCTAACAAGAACAGATTTACGTCATTAATCAAATTGGTCTAGAATTCCACAAACTATACAGCAGATTATGATTCTCTCATGGATCATTATTGCCACTAATCAAACTAATATCAATGATTAATGAGATATTATAATGAAGCTGAACTAAAAACAGAGAAAACAAGTCAAAACAAATGAAAAACACATACTTGATTGAATCTCGAAGTAACAAATAGTACATAGGATCTTCTGAAGCTTCTTGATTTGTCAGTTTGAGAAGTTGCAGAAACACATACACACATGTAGTGAGGCTTAAAACCAAAAAAAAGACAAAAAAAAATTACAACAAATTCATAATAATGTCGTCTATGAAATGGTTCAAGAAAAAAGATGATACCTGCCAAAAATTAAGAGCAAAATGGTCCAAAGTATTGAACCAGACCATGTAGACTCCTTATACACAATCCAAACCTGAATTCAGATGATAAACAAGTCAAAGATTAAAACTTTAAGGTTCATCAAGAATCTGGAAGAATATATATCAATTTAAACATACCGCTATAGGTACAATATTAATGTAGAAATCCAGAATTGTCGTAACGAACCATCTGAAAAAAGAGCGTAACGAAACGAACATGAATACACACATATCTGTGTATCTCTGTGTGAAAATGAAGAAAGAGAGAAATGGGTTTTACGGTGTGAAGACATCATGACGATCAGGTAAAGGAAGGCCATCGGTGATAATGGTGTAGACAAGAGTCGCGAGCATCACACAGAACATAACCGGTAAAGTCACTTTTAGTCCGGTTACTAAACTATTCGTCGCCATTGTTAACACCACAGAGAGAGACGAGAGGAAGCGAAATCGAAAAGCGTTGATGACATTGACGACGATTCGATAGATTCAACAAGGAGCGAAACAAGTGGGGAAGGATGCGCCACGTCACCGCCAAATTGCTAACTGATATTTCAAACCGAAACGGATTCGGTTTAGTGCGATTGAACCGGACTCTTCATCACATGGTTCCCATTACATAAAGAAGACAGATTAAAGAGTACCATTACATGTATACACTTGAACTGTTGCAAACAAATACCAAAATCATACAAGTTTTTGGTCAAGATTTTAGACACACACACACACAACAAGTAATGCATAAATCAAGAGAGTAAGAAAAAAATGTTTCTTCAGCAAGCACAACCTCCTCTTTGTTCAGACTCCGAACCAGTCTCTGGAATTGCTTGGAAATATCTGAGTTGTAACCAAAAAAAAAGATTATAAATTGAGAGATTCGGGTTTTTCAGCTCTAGTTTAGGAGATCCACAAAGTGAGAGGATCACCAAAAGAAAGAGGTTTAAGTACACTTACATATCTTGGTCGCGTTCATTGGCAAGGGCAAGTTTTGTGATGCACAAGAAAGAGTCATCGACATTATAATTCTCTTTAGCCGATGTTTCGAAATAGACAATGTTTCCTTTTTCAGCACACCATTCTCTAGCTTTCTTCTCAGATACCTAAACACAAAGAAAGGAATATAGCAAACAAGGACTTGTATCTTCTTGATGAAACAAATGGAGTATTCAAAATTCACATACATTCAGATAAAAGGCTTAAGACTAATAAGAACTTACCACTCGGCTATTTCCTCCATCAACATCAACCTTATTACCAAGAAGTATAAAAGGGAATGCCATTGGATCACGAGGACTAGCCTGGCCAATATTCCACAAAAACGATTATATCAGTCACTAAAAGAAAGAAATCTTTGGAAAAGAGAAAATGTGATGGAGAAAGCAAAAAAAAAAAAGAACCCGTTTAAGAAACTCGGCGTGCCAATTGTCGAGAGAATCAAACGACTTCAAGTAATTGACATCATAGACAAGAACACAACAATCTGCACCTCTATAGAAAGCAACACCAAGACTTTGAAACCTTTCTTGCCCAGCAGTGTCCCATATCTATATATATATAAGAAAAAAAGAAAAAAAAAAAAAGCACAAAGGAGTTAGTTAGAATTCATTATAAACTCGAAAAAAAACTGACAACAAAAACAAAAAACCTCACTTGCAATGTGACAAGCCTGTCATCAATTTGAAGCTCCTTAGTTACAAAATCAGCTCCGATCGTAGCTTTGTACTGCTGACTAAACTTGTTATTCACATATCTACACACACAAAAGAACAGCTAAGTTTTTTTTTTTTTCACCGGCAGCTACAAAAATCGAAATTACGAAAAGAAGAAAAACCAAAGAAAAGATTTGGTTAGGATACTGATTCATCAACGATGTTTTGCCAACCCTGAGATATTATTTGTACCAGAAAAAAAAAAAAAACAAGAGAATGATTATAAGATCAAACATAAAAAAAAAAGTTAGGTAGAAAAAAAAAAGCGAAAAATTTAAGCTAACCCGCTGTCTCCAAGAATGATAACTTTGAGTAAAGTTCGTCTTCGTATCGACATGATCAGAGAGTATGTATCTGAATCTTGACTTTGTTTTAAAGAAAACAAAAGGAGCAACGAACTCTGTTCTTCGGATTTGTAAAAACAGAGAAGATAAAATAAAAAGGAGCGCCAATTTCGATCAATGATCTTTTGGGAACTAAAAAAAGTCTTAGCTGGAAGACTCGTGGCCGTGGGGTTTGTCCAGCTTTTAAGAGAGGATAATATCATAGAATAAAACAGAAAAAAGTATTTATTGTTAAACACTAGAAGAAAAATATTAGCAAAACAAATGTGATCATTGACAAAGGAACAAAAAAAGAAACAAGTCATAAAGTAATGTGCTATAACAAAACGTCACTAAGATAAGATAGTTTGTTCTGTAAGAAACGTCACCAAAACTTTTTTAGTTTGTTTATAAAAAAAAAAAAGAATTTCAAAAGGTGATTTTGCGTGAAACCAACGTCTCGAGGTTTGAGGTTTGGTGCTCAAATGTTATCATCCAGACGAAGAAGACGAGCCGTTCTGTTTCTTACTTTGTGATTCCTCAGAAGCGAATGATTCGTCTAAGAACCCTTCAAGCTTGCCTCTTTCCACGCAACTTGAAAACTTTTTCGCAGCATCAGGGACATCCAAAGACAGATCTTCAAGCGATTCATCAACTCTTTTAAACCCTTTAGTCATCTGATATATCGTCACTAGTCCTGAATCAAAACACACTTTTAGTAGCTTCCATAACCGTTCCTCGTTCTCCTTCTCCTCTATGATCCTCACTACTGACTTCTTCACTACTTCGTGGTGAAAAAACGGCATTCCCAGTTCCTTCACGCACCTACTAGCTTCTCTGAGGTCTCCACCAGAGACATACTCTTCTAGAAGAATCTGGATCTTCTCTTTCACTTCCTTCACTGTGGATCCTGGCGAGTTTGTCTCAATTCCTCCTCCTCCCCAGCAACGTAAGATCCTTTCACCAGAAAGACGTGCTTTCAGCAATGTTTTCGCCATTTGAATCACTTTCTCTCCCACACTTGAGCCTGCCTCGGGAGTCTGGTTTAACACTTCTTCCAAATCCCGTGGAGCTAACACCTCGTCAACCACAGCTCTGGCTAAGAACATGGCAAGGTCTTCAACAACCACTGGGTTGTCCAAAGCCGTGTCGTCTGCAGATTCTATGAGCATCAAGAATGCGTTTCTGACATCTTTTGGAGGGAAACCAAGAGTAGAGACGAGCACACAAGCCATCTCCTTCTCTCTTTTCTTCCTGTCCATTGCTAGAGTTATCAGATATTTGACAAAGATTGCGCGTAGCTGACTCGAAGATGCATTCAATTCGGTGTCTAGACAATGTACGACCTCTGAAGTGTCACCTGAAAGGAAATACTCTCGGATGATCGACTTCGCCTTGTCTTTAAAAACATTGGCGCTGGAGTTTTCAAGTAACTTTTCTCCTGCATCAGCGGAGAGTGATTTCAGAGAAGAAGCACATAACCATCCTTCAGAAGCCGCTTTAGAGATGAAAGACTGTAATATACGGCGTGCATCTGGTATGTCAAGAGACAAATCTTCAATTGAATCAATGATTCTGCTAAACCCTTTTGTTACTTGAGTGGAGTTTATGAGACCAACCTCAATCGTTTCTTTTAACAGATCTAGCAGCCTGACTTCAGCTTTTCGCCTTTCCATTGCCATAATCAGTGCTCGTTTGACAATCTCATGGTGAAAGAAAGGAACTTTCAATCCTTTGATGCATCTAAAAGCTTCTTCTTTGTCTCCACTCATGACATACTCTTTCAACAAGTCGTTTATTCTTGCTTTCACATCCTCAGCAGTCCAATTATCAGTCCCTCCCCATCTCTTCTCAACAACTTCAGCATGAAGCGGAGTGGCTAGATAGCTCTTCTCGGCCTTTCTCAAAACCTCAACACCTTTGGAGTTATCTGGTAGCAATTTCATTTGTTTCTTCAGAAACGCAGGTGGAAGAATGTCGTCAACAATTGCCCGAGCCACAAAGACAGCAAGAACATCAACTGCATCGGGAATATCTACAGATAAATCATCAGCAGAAGCCACCAGTTTGTTAAAACCTCTGTAAACTTCCGGGGGATCAATGACGTCGGCATAAAGCGTAGACAGCAGAAAAGCAGCCATTTCTTTCTCTTTGTCATGTCTATCCATAGCCATGGAGACTAATTTCTTGACAAAATAATAACGGTACTCAGGCATTCCAAGCTCCTTTAGTTCATTAGCAACTGAGACAACATCATTGGTGCCAAAGTATTCCTCCACAATTACCGTGGCCTTCTTTTTGTACTCACTTAAATCAGCATCGAAGCAGCTAGTTGGATCTGAATGTCCATTGCCCTGATGGAAAAAGAAGTTAAATCTCAATTCAGATCTCTTGTATATATAAAATGTTGAACATCAAACAGAGACATATAAAGTGATGAATACCTCAACGGTATCAAAATTAGGGTCAGTGAGGTCATCATCATCTTCTACTCCCCAAGTTTCTTCACTCCCTTGCACTGCATAGAAAGAAAAGTTCTCTAAACACACGTATAACACAAGTTAACCAATATCATCCAGAGGAAGTAAAAAAGAGATACCTTTTATAGGTGAATGTCTATGACTCTTCAATAAATCCGCTGTCATGTTCGCCTGTGGCAATGGGTCGAGAGAAGAAGATATTTTCAATTGAGAAATGCAAAGAGGATCCGTTTTCGAATCAGCAACTTCTTGGTGCTCCATTTTAGACTCTCTCTCGAATCCTTGCAAGTCCTCAACTTTTCGATTGTCACACGATTTAATCAATCACCATAGTTTTGCATTCCTCTAAACAATCATAAAAAAAGGAGCAATTTTTTTTGGTAACGAAAAAGAAACAATCTTTAAGCGGTAAGTAAGATTTCTCCAATTTTACAATCAACGGATTCAATAACCAAATCTGAATTTAGGTCAAATATATATATATATATATAAGTTTCATCGATCGCAAGGAAACAAATAATAACGACGATGATAAAAATCACGTACTCGAAAAGAAACGTGAAAGACTCGCCGGAGTGTGATACAGAGACGCCGGCGATGAAGCAAGCGTCTTTTTTTGGATTCGCCGAGTCGAAGAAGAACACGATGATGTGCTCCTCTGTAACTGATTTTATTTAATTTATTTTTTCAATTATTTGGGATTTTTTTTTTTTGTTTGAGGAAATAAATAAGCTTTTATTATTTTTATTAATAAAAAAAGTAAACAAACTCTTTCCCCGTTTTTTGCTTTTTTACCATTTACCCTCTCGCCATTTGTTACCTCTTTTGAGTCTTTTACGCTCATTCACTTCCTTTTTTTTTTTTTTTTTTTTTAATAATATATAATTTACGATTTCAGTCTCTATTTTCCTTTTTCTTCAAAAAAGGCCGTTGAAGTAATGAAATAACATTTTTTTACACTCTACTGTCATTTGTTAGAAAGAGGTAGAGTTTTCAAACTTATGATCAATAACCTCAACTATCATATTGTAGTATTGCTTTAAAAATTATAACTTCATAATAAAAAGCCATACTTTTTTGTAAGTTTCTAATTTATTAGTATGCATCATTTTTATTTTAATAGTCTTATAGACTTTTAAAATATGATAGTTAAGGTCATTGATCATAAATTTAATTTTTTGTATAAGTCTTTTTTATTGTATATAAAAGACAATTATTGTCTTTCTTATGAGTTTTTTCGAAATATTAAATTTGTAAGTCTAATACAACAAAATTATAACATCTAAATTATTAATTATATATATATATATATATATATCAAATTTTCTCAACTCATATTTTTCTATAATTTAAACAATTATAACAAATATCTGTATAAATTAATAAAATATTATAGTCTCAATCCTTGTTTAAAAAATCGCTAGGCGCTAGTCGGGCGGTGGAGGTGGGCCTAGCGTCTAGCTAAAAAATCGGAGATTACACGGGGTTTAATCGGGATTAGTTGAAGGGAGACTCACAAAAATGCCCTTTTTTTAATACCCCTTTTCAAAAATGCCCCATTTGGCTGTCCATTTTTAAAAATACCCCTTTTTATGTACAAAATGACTAAATTACCCTTCTTTTAATAAAAGATATCACAAATATATAAGGAAATATAACAAAATTAGGTCCACAAAATACAAAATATTTTTTGGCGGGAAAAGTGATCCCGCCAAAACACTTGTAAAAACTTGTAAAACCTTTAAAATACCTTGTAAAATTTTCCCGTAAAACTTTTTCCCGCCAAAAATTTTTTTTTGCGGGAAAAGTGATTCCGCAACTTTTTTGGCGTTAAATTTTTCCCGCCAAAAATTTACAAGGTATTTTAAAGGTTTTTTACAAGGTATTTATAAGGTTTTACAATGTATTTTAAAAGGTTTTACAACGTATTTACAAGGTATTTATAAGATTTTACAAGCTATTTTATAAGGTTTTTACAAGTTATAAGGTTTTACAAGTTTTTTATAAGGTTTTACAAGTTATAAATACCTTATAAAACCTTATAAGTACCTTGTAAAACCTTTTAAAATACATTGTAAAACCTTACAAAACACTTGTAAATACTCTGTAAAACCTTTAAAATACCTTGTAAATTTTTCCCGCCAAAAATTTTCCCGCCAAAAAAATTTCACAAAAAAAATTGCGGAATCACTTTTCCTGCAAAAAAATTTTTTTGGCGGGAAAATTTTTACAGGAAAATTTTACAAGGTTTTTTAAAGGTTTTTACAAGTGTTTTGGCGGGAAAATTGCGGGATCACTTTTCCCGCCAAAAAATATTTTGTATTTTGTGGACCTAATTTTGTTTCAAATAAGGGTAAAATAGTCATTAAAAATTAAAAGAGGGCAAACTTAAAAATGGACTCTCAAAGGGGGCATTTTTGAAAAGGGGTATTGAAAAAGGGGCATTTTTAACAATTTCTCTTAGTTTTATGTATTATTTTATTTATATTAAATTAAAAATAAATATCTATAAATATTATACATTTTTTTAATTTAATGTAATGTTAAAAATAAATACTTTGTGTGATATATATGTTCAAAGAAAAATTCAACTGGTAAAAGAAATATTAGCAAAATAAATAATTAGATGTGGACATCAGGACATGTATGTGGTCAATGTAAAAAACGTTAACATGTTAAGAAAATTGGCATCAATTAATATCTGCATTTAATTAGTATTACTCAACATAAATATATTCAACTTTATTACTTTTGACTTATCCACGTGTAAGATGAAAGTCTCTACACTTACAAAAACAAAAGTCCCACATCGAGAAGAAAAGAATCAACCATCCAAATTTTATCTTATATATAACCCTACTTAGTTCCTAGTTAGTTTATTATATGGGCTTTATTTATCTGTGGCCCAAATTTAGTTTAATTGTTTTGGTAAAAATCGTTGACTTGAACGATTTTCAACGTTTAACACATTAAGCGGCCGCAAAATCGGATTAGCGATTAAATAGTCTGAATTGGTTAAAATCGCAGCGGAGAGCTGCCGATCACCGATTAGGGGGACGCCTAGGCGGCTAGGCATCCGATATTTAGAACAAAGGTCTCAATATTATTAATTTATAGAAGTTTTATTATAATTTGCTTTTTATTTTATTTTTAAATGAGTAAAAGGTTTTGGACCTATATCCATACATATTTCCTCAAGTCAGAGAGAGCATTTTATATTAATAAGACGGATTCACCTACCTCCCAAAATTAAAGAGCAATCCTTCACTCTGCGCTTGGAGGTAATCTGAATCCCATTAGGAACAATGTTCGGCTAACGACTTACCATTCCTAGCCGTCAACCACCTTGCCAACACTCGGGTGCTCTAGAAACATTTGTTCTGCCACTGCCCACTAGCTTTATCACAAAATTTAGAAAATTGACCTTCACCACTCTGACACACAACAAGAAAACGAAATAAGATCTAAACACAGCTGATAAGATGGTCCAACCTAGACGTTTCTCAACCACCAGAGAGAGAGAGAGAGAGAGAGAGAGAGAGATCCATAAGGCGAATATATAACGGATGATGAACACATGCAAGTGAAATATACACACGAGCATATGAAGAGGGTTGATCTCCACTATCTATCAAAGAATTCCAATCTCACTCCAGCGGATAGCTTTTCCCTTCAAATCTCTCAACCAAACATTATATTGGGGTTTAGATCGATATTGGCTAGGTGTATGACGTGAACAACACTTAGCTACACAATTAAGAAATAATTTCAAATTTTGTCAATTTATTTTTGGGAATTTTGCCAAATGTGCCACAATTTTAGAAAATTCTAGCAAATGTACCACATTGCAAATGGATTTAGCATCTATACCACTTTTGGTGTTTGTGTGGTAGAGGTTGGACGATTTTACCCTTCTGCATGCGTCAGGAATGTGTCAGGGGAAGGAGCTACAGTAAGACGCCGGTTGAAAAACGGGGAGCGGCTGCATTAAATGGATGTCTCCAGATCTTGTCCCCGATTGAAAATTCTCTGTTGCGTCTAGATCTCGTCTCCGATTTCATCAGCTTGCTCTATTATTATAAATCCCAGATGATATGGTTTTACCAGCCTGCAGAGATCTGGATTTACTCGGGGACAACATCTCTTAATTATCCATCGCCGGATGATGTGGTTTTACCAGCCAGATATCTGGATTAACTCGGAGACAACTTGATCTTTATTTTATTCTGCCAGAGAGCTGAAGAGAAGATCTGGATTTACTCGGAGACAACTTTGTTTTACCAGCCAGAGGGATGAAAACGGTTATCAATGCGCCAGGAGAGAGAAAAAGGACGGCAGAAATTTCGGAAGGTCACATCAATCGCAGTTCCTTATCTCACTAGTTGGAGGGTAAAATGGTCATTTTACAAACACAATGTGGTATGAATGATAATTGGGATTCAAATGTGGTAGAAGTGAAAACTTTTGTGGAAAAAGTGGTACCCAATCTAATTTTCTCTTTATTTTCTTGTTTGTTTTGAAAATTATATATTTTATTATTGTTTGTTTTTTTTTTGATCGAAAAGTTTACTTCATAGTAATCTAAACGTTTATAAAATAATTTGTTTCTTATAAGATTGTATACTTTTTGTTTGAGGTCGACAAAACATAGAAAAAAAAAAGACTTTTTGTTTGATTTGATTTTCGTGATTAGCTACAATTTGTAAGGTTAACTCATTTGAATAATTTCATACTATTGCCCAACCTTATTTTTCGCCTTTTGACACTTTTCGCGAGATGTTTGAATTTAGCTAAGACCATAAACAATTATACATAAATAAACAACAAAATGTAACCACACAGATAAAAAAAAACTACCATACTTTGATGCTTTTAGAGTTCAGATTCATATTAGTCGAATTTTTTTATCGTTCTACATAATGAATCATCTCATAATTTTTATGTATTTTGGAACATTTGAATCTTATCTAGGGCACCAATTCCAGAAACTTCTTTAGAAATTCCACCTCATGGCCTAAAGCACGATAAATATATATATTAACAATAAGATTTTAAAATTAATGATCAAGCGGAGAGATCTTGTAGAGCCTAACACGATACATGAGTAATAAAAACTCATCAAACCTAGCTACTTCAGTAGAAGGAAAAGAATGTGCTTGTCATCAGTAACAAGACAAATATTTTTCTTCATGTGGGTATAGTTTTATACACATACAAAATTCATTGGGTTGTTCTTCTTTTGCCTTGTGATTTTAGAATTCCATAATTTGTTTAGCAATCATAATACTTGTAATAAAACAAACAGTATAGTCATGAGAATGTAAGAGATATAATATCTTTGTCTTCCTGCTTAAAGTGATATATGTATAGAAACTGACGCCTTAGGGGCTTGGATTTTTTTTCAAATTCAGACCATAACTTAAATTTCTTTACTGGTCCAAGACTCCAAGATTGAACATGTTCTCTAATTATTTCATACTTAGCTTCCGTAGTAAAGTAGTGACATCTGGCTGCTCCTGCTAGTCGTTCCTCGTCGCTAGCTCTAACCTCTTTTCAACTTAAGAAAATTCTCGTGATCAGACATGAAAAGTGGCAAAGGTTTAAACCTAAAACACACAAACGAGTTTTTCTTATAAACCCCAATGTCTCACCATATATCATGACGCTAAGTGGAGTGAAGAAGAAATGATTGGAGATTTCAAGCGAATGCCTTGAGTGAAGAAGAAGTATGTGATGCGA